TGAAGGCATTTGTGGAGCCCATCAAGCTAGGGATAAGATGAGATGGTTGATTAATAGGTATGGCTATTTTTGGCCAACTGTAAGAAAGGATTGCATTACATATGCTAAAGGATGTCAAAGCTGCCAAAAACATAGCAAATGTACAATGCGTCCCAACTGTAGGTTTGAATTCAATATTAAGATCATGGCCTTTCAGAGGTTGGGGAATGGACTTGATAGGCTAGATTTTCTCACCTTCTTCAAACGCACACTCATATTTGTTGGTGGCAACTGATTATTTCACAAAATGGGTACAAGCAATTCTATTAAAAGTTGCCACACAGACTCAGGTTATTGAATTCTTTAAAGAAAATGTGATGTTTGGTTTGCCTCAATCTATTACTATTGATCAGGGAACTATGTTTAATGGGGATGAAATAAAAGAGTTTGCCAAAGACTATGGCATTCAAATCCTAAATTCTTCTCCATATTATGCCCAAGCAAATGGGCAAGCGGAGGCAACAAACAAAATTGTAAAGAATACTTTAGAGAGAATGATTAAGGACAATCCCAGGGATTGGCACAATCTATTATCTGAAATACTATAGGTATATAGAAATTCTAGGAGAAATAGTATAGGGCCAAACTCCATATGAGTTGGTGTATTGACATGATGCGGTACTTCCTTTAGCAATCACTGTAAGGTCCAATTGACTGGCTCAACAGCTAGACATTCCAATGGATGAATACAATGAAGCCATGTCAATTGAATTACAAGATTTAGAAGGAAAGATGATTTCTGCTTTCAATCACTTTATAGCTCAAAAGAAGAAAGTAGAATGGAGCTATAACAAGAAAGTAAAGCATTAAATGTTCTCTGAAAGAGATTTAGTTTGGAAAACTATTTTTCCTCTTGGAACAAAGAATCCACAATATCGAAATTGGTGTCCTGATTGGGAAAGACCATTCAAGATTTTTAAAGTTTTTAAAGGAGAAACATATTATCTTGCATCCTTAGAAAGAGAACCACATAGAAGAGTAATTAATGGTAAATACTTGAAGAAGTATTATCCAACTATGTGGAAAAGCATGAGATAAAAATCAAGTATATGATGGACAGGGTCCTGGAATTTTGGACCTATCGATAGGTCATATGGTGACAAAAATGAACCATTTTTGTTCGTATGGGAGCCTGTTTATCCTTGTCTCCATGGGCCTTTGAAGTATGTCATTTTCAGTGAATATTCATCCAAGGTAAAACATGGTTTTACTTTAAATGAGGGCGGCATTATTGGCACCAAAATTTAAATCCTCTGTTAGCAGAAGCATTAGCGTAATTAATAAGGATCCAAGAATCGTGGGCATGAAGATGGTGCTCTGAAAGCAATGATCAAGGACAAGACATGTGGCACTTGTAGGAGGAAAAAAAAGTTAAAGACAATTGCAGCACACGTTGCACTTCCAGGAGAAAAAGGAAGTTGAAGCTAGTTATAGCAGTTGCAAGTCATGGGAAAGTGGAAGTCACCAGCTAGTGGACACATGGCAGCATGACATGGCCAGTGAAGCCATACAAAAGTTGGGAATTCGAAGAGACATGGACCTTCAACCAAATTCACAACATTTGTGAAATCTAGGAGTAGTGCAACTTATGTAGGAGCAGTTTTGTAATTTACGAGTAGATTAACAACAATTTCAGTACTTGTAACTCAATTTGGACCTGTCGATTGTAAAGCTATAAAACTTGTAATTTAATTCTTGTAATTAAGTGATGAATTTAAGTGTTATAAATCACATTCCTAGTTTGTTCATCTTTGTTTTTTCACATTATAATCTCCAAAGAAGTCATTGAATCTGTCAAGGCATAGGACACCAACTACTTTGTCTGATCAGTTTGTTTGTTTGTGACAATTGGTTTCTCTGTCGAATCTACTCTGTCGATTTGTCCTAAACTAGATTTTTAATAACACATAGCTTAAGAGTACCACACCTATCTATTCAATCTGTTAAACATTACAACAATGTTACATAGTTCAAATTTGAGTTTGTCTGAATGGCCCAAGTTTTGGCTTGCCGGTCATCCGACAACAAAGTGACAGGCACGGTCGACAAGAGTGACAACCGCGGTAACCAAGTGTTGCATCGGTCATCCAGGCAGTCAACCGGCATGCACAAATTTAAGCAATTTGAACAAACTCAAATTCAAACTATCAAACATTTTATTATATTTTGTTCTAACAAATGCTAGAGTTAGCTTGCAATAGCAATATACTTGTTATTGTTTTGATTATATCTAGTTTATTATAGAAAGTGAAAATTCAACTTGGTGTTGGTGTCACACTATTTTTATACCAATTTTACCCACACAACCAACAAATTTAGCTTCATCAAATTTCATAACAAACTATTTTAGTTTTATTTAGTTTTCAAATTCAAAACCTGTTTTATTCTTCAAATTTAAATTCAGTCAAATTCTTCATAATTTTTTCCTTTTGGGTGTGTCAGCACTTTTAGCATATGCACAAGTCAAAACATAACAAGTTTAGATAGGGTATGTACCATATGTAATTTATTTTATTTGAGAGATTGATTATTACAAATGACATAATTTAATATTATAGAAGTAATAACTAATATATATACATATAGATTCTAACCAAACATCGCATAATAAATAATAAATAATTCTTAAATTATAATCAAAATAATGTCATAATCAACTTATAATAAATCATGATTAACAATACAATATATCATAATTAAAGATACAAGTATCACAACTAAAGATACACATGATACATAGAATTTCTTAAGCGAAATCATACAGAAAATCAAATCCCAATGCAGTAGGGTTTGGTGAAGACTTTAACATAGCTTTTGAGGTACCTCTTTACCTTACCTTACAGATTTATGTCCTTGTCATACTCATATTAATAATTCATCTGCTTCAATAATGGTACTTCATGGCCCTGTTTGATTAGGTGAAGTATTACTGATTAGATTAAAAATCTCGTAGGATTAATAATTTTATATGATAATTATGGGTGAGATTGTTAATACCTACACTTATTTTTTGTATTAAATATGCTACAATTTTATAGGATTAAAAATCTTACGTATTACTAAATCGAATGTTATTTATGTAATCCAAACGTAAAAATAAAAATTTGATAGGATTAACAGTCCAATTATATATAATTATCGTGAATCAAACAGGGTCCATACATATCAAATTTTGAATACGGTAAATTTATGGAGAGTAATCTACTTTTATTATATTAGGCAATCTTACATTGCATGAATTTTATTATCTGGCTTATATTCATGCAAGATAATATGGTACTTTGTAATTCAAAGGTAAGGTTTGTTGATTAGATTTCTCATGTATAAGTTTGAGTCACGAAAATTACATATTCAAAATTGAGTAAAGTTGTGTCCATCTGTCATTTTTAATTTGTACTTTTTGTAATTTTGACAATTAAGTTAAAAGTTTTTTTTTTTTTAATTTCTTTAAGTCACATCACCAATATGTTTTTCAAAATAAATCAAAAATTTTTTTTTTAAAAAGCTGACTTTTTTTCTATATTCCAAAATAGGATTAGAAAAAGACATAATAGTAACAACTGCATTTTTATTACAAGTACAGAAGTCTCGTATACATGCATAGCTTCTTTAATAATCAAATTTAAAATATGGTCATAACAACGAACATGAAATAAATCACTATCAACAAAAAATTGTAAAGTTGATTTTAAATGGGCTACAGTTTGATTATAATATGCTGCATTATCTAAACTAATCGTAAATATTTTATT